TTTTCTATCTAACTGGCTATTTCCCTGAGCATCTTATATCTCTTTCTGCACTTCTTTTATTCTGCTTTTTTTTTTTTTCCTCAAAAATGAGTGATCAGAATCCTGCATTGTAGAATTATAAATGAGATTTCATGTACATCAGCATCAGAAAAAATCTATCAGATATAAAACAATATGGAAGAAACTATACCATGCCTTTAATATTTGAATAGTTACAGTACAATATACAGTGTGCCTTTCAGCCTTAATAATTCTGTGATTCTTTGATTCTGTGACAAAATTCAGAAATATGATTCTTTTTTACTATTGAAGTTTTATCGTTGTTCTATAAAGCAGAATTTTGCATAATAAGAAATTGAGAAAATTGTGCTTTACCTGTTCACAAATTCTCCTTAAGAAATGTGTGTGCTATGAAATTTAGAAAAAAAAATATTCTTAATTTTGAGCTTTATGTGAGCTATTTAGTTCAGGTGCTTACTCATTCAAATATTATGCAACTGGTTATTTAAATTGTTTGATGTTACTTAAGGTGTGTGATGTTGGAAAATGAAATTCTGTAAATCACTCTACAGTAATAAGACAATACTGCATCATATGTTCATGTTCATTCATAGCTAACTTTATTTTCCATAACACATCAAATATTATGAAATCCACCTATGGATTTCTATCCCATCAGTCACAACATTTTTAACATGTCCTTCCAGATCCAGTGCAACAATGAAACATCTGCTTATTCAGAAGTATGAGCAATTCTTGTAAAAATATTATTTTGATTAAAAGTAAAACATGTCACTAGTCACAAGTTCTTTATTGGAAGAGGATTTTATTTTATACCCAAAAGAAAGTCACAAGGGCAATCCCTAGATCTAGCTTTTGAAGCTACATAGAGAAATGGAGATTATTATTTTGAAGGTCTTTCTTGGTTTCTTTTCCTCTTTTCCCTTTTTCTCTTGTTCAGTGCATTTGAGACCAGCCTCGAGAGTCTTTCTAATTTATAATTAATTTCTATTATTAGCAAGTCATTTCAACTTGCCTGAAAATTAGAGTTTGATTCTACATTCTCTGAACCAAGCTCCTAAGGTAAGGAATGTTTTTGCATGTCCCTCACATGCACATGCATGGTAGTATTTAGACAACCACGAGGATGACAACATTAGCTTTGATTTAGGAGGATACAGGCAATCAGATAAGAAAGGCAGAAAGTTTATGTAGAGATTGATGCAGTTGTAAGGACTGCAGTGCTTTAAAATAAAGACATAAAGCATAAAGATCAGTTCCCAGCAATATCCACTGCTTTTTGAAATAAGTAAAAGAGCATGGCACAATCACCAAAACTATTTCAAACATTTCTCTGACTGCAAACAACGCATGAAGTTGCATAGAGAAATATCACCATAAACTACACTAGCTTCACTGGCCCTCTACTTGTTTCCTGCAATGTTTGTGCATACACAAAAGACTAATAACAGATTAAAGCTACTTGTATACAATTATGGAGTGCAAGCTTTGATTTATACACATTAAATGATGTAATCACTGCTAAGAAGAAAAACATTGATGTATCCATAAAAAAGTCAGAGTTTCCAGGGTATCTTCTCAAACACGTTCTTTGCTGCAGAAAATAACACCTAACAAATATCTCAGGCCATTTCAACTTCTGAATACATCTGAATGACTTAAATTAAGGCTCTCCTTTAATTGGTTTCAGAATAGGGGTGAACTTTGTATGGAACGCGTAAATGTGCATCTACCTGTGTGTTACTGACACTATTCCACTTATGCATGATATTTACATATGCTAAAGACATAACACTGTTCATTTTTGATGTTCATTTTAAGATACCAAATATCAATATATCTGTACTGGAAGACTGAATACCTAAGCACATACTTAAAGCATACGGTTAATTGCTTTGCTAAGGGAGAATAAAATAATAAAAGTATACAAAATACTTTGTATCTTGTGACATAAATGGAGGTAATTACCTCCACTACGCTTTTCAGTTCTCTGCAGGATTTAAATTTTACCTTTGACAGGGTATTGGATTATTATTTAGAAAATTATATCTACAATTTCATTGTAGCATGTATGAAAAATTTTTTAAATAAGCAAATCATTTCACTGGTTTGAATGCCTGTCACAATTTTTATTTTCAGTAAACTTGGTGAATAAGACATGGGAATTTTGACACTTCCAAGAAACTTTCTGTAAAATAGTAGTGAAAAGTCAATTATTTTGAAGAATTCATGCAGAAATCCAAATTAATAACTTCAAAATTTTGCAATGATTAATCAATTCATTGATTATGAGACAGATATCTTGTGGATATCCATTAGTAACTGAATAATCCATTGAATTTTCTTTAGTCTTGGCAAAATATCTTAAGTAATAGGGATGAGAAAGAAGACAAAAGTTTCAAATTTTCTAAATGGCAATTAGATATGAGAAAGATTACTTTCAGCAAAAAAAAAGGATTGCAAGGCAGATACTGACAGTCCATACTTAGTATATCATAATTGAAGGCAGACTGCCTTCACTGGCTGACTTGACAAAAATACACCTATCCAGCTATATGCAGAGATAACTCCAACACATATAATCTAAGAAGTATAGATTTAGTCAAAAAAAATGCATTTTTCTCCCTCTAATTTGGAATCATTTTTCCTTTCAAACGCAAACTTGATCCAAAGCCCACTGAAGTTAGCAGAGCCTCTTTGGCTTTGGATAAGACTTTGAGGAATATTGCTATCTTGAATCTCAGTGCAAAACATACATCTTATGTTCAAACCTCCACCATGACCTCCCTCAGGGGTCCTACTCCTAGTTTCAGGCTTCTGATTCACTGCAAAAAAACATTGCTCACCAAAATTGAACTAAGCTGAAACTTGAAATGCACATGGAAACATCAATAAGGTGTACTGCACATTTTTTTTCCCCGAAGGGATTCTTTCTACCATTGTCTACTGCTGTCACCATTTCTTTGTACATTATGTCTTGTTTGTTTCAAGATTTTTTTTTTTTTTTTTTTTTTTTTTTGTATCAATAATACAAAAACACTGCACACATTTTTGGGAAATAGTTACAAAGAATAGAGGAGGCACAATATAGACACAATACAGAAGATTATCATGAAATAATTTTCAAAACTATGTGATCGAGCCTTGTTCTCATTTAGCATAGATAAATAGCATATATAAATATAGCATAGATAAATAGCATATATAACAAATAGCATATATAAAAGAATTAGTACAGTAATTTACTGGGGCATCCCAATTCTTTACATGATCTATATTTGCTCTGAGACTGTATCTCAGAATAAGACAATGGTGTTGAAGAAGGTTCTAGAAGTGATCATGTTAAGTTCAAGAGAATTTTAAGACTAACTTTAGTCTATTGACAAGTGTCTAAACTCAATTTCCCCCTCTCTCTCTGCTATAGTGCAAAATTACATTTATTTTATATTTCTCACATGATGTGTTTTCAGCATAACATGGTAGCAGGTGCGTGCAGGGTGAGGTTTTTTAAAAATTATCTCTAATTTAGGAATCTTTTAACACTTATGTTACTAGTTTCTCAAGTTCCAGATAGATTAAAGTATATATTTTCCATCACTAGTACAGCCCAGGTTTAACAGTCAGATGTGCATGATTTTTTGTGGGTTTGTGCTGAAATATCTACATTGCTATGCTTATGTCATAGAAGTCGTTGATAAAAGTAAAAAGTTATCTTAGGGGATGGTAAGAACTGTTGTCTCTGTTTATGCTTTCTGCTCTAAAATCATTAAATTATAGCTAATATGTTTTCATACAAACTCTTACTGTATGAAAATTAAACTTATTTTAGATGGGACTCCAAAAGGCTGATTTGATATTCATATTCAAACTGTGCATGTATAAAGTGTGTGATAGCCACACCCTTTAAATGTTTAGGTGGGCTACTAGATAGATAAACATGTCTAAAACTAGTTGTTTGCCTTTCTACCAAATACATGGATTTGACTTTGCTGTTTTTATACCTATAAATAAACAAACAAAAAGTTTCTAAGTAGCAAATTGGCTGTATGTCATGTAGGATATATGAAAAAAACAGACCTTTGTTAGGAAATTATTTTAATTTCTCTTAACCGAGTCTGTATGCCAGCAGAAAAAAATGCATTTTGTGTTTCAATCATTTTAATTTGCTCAAATACAGCAGACTTAGTTAAGGTATTTACATTATTATGCATCATTCTTCTCCCTAGATATCAGTTTCTATTTTGCTCCACTTCACAGGAATCAATGTCTCTAATTTTTCAAAGTGATTCACCCACATGTCTTCTTTCTCAGATAGGTTTAGTTTGTAGCTGGAGATTATGCTAAATATGTAGGATATGTTAAAGTCATGGACACTGAGGAATTTATGAAAAGAAATGTATTGTCATATGCATATCAAAAAGCATACTTTATGTACTACATTGATGAGTTACTGCTTACATGAACCAAGATGTTATGGAGAGCTGTAAAAAGAGTCAATGCCTTTGCTTAGAACTGACAAGTTCATGAAACTGATCATTCTGATCACCCTTAAATCTAGCAAGCTTTGGTATTCCAGCAAAAACTTAGTAAACAATGTTTGATCCCACCTCTGCCAAACACCGGACTGATAACTCTGCAGCTTTTAAAGGCCCTTGGAGTATATCAAAGGAATAAATAAGAACTTTGCATATGAAAGCACACTTTCAAAAAGATATATTTTGCAGAGTATCTACATGCGACCTTGCTGTTTTTATAGTCATTTCTGCACATAATTCCCTACTTTGGAGCAAACTGATAGGGGCAGAAGACATATAAAGGTCTGCTGACTGAAAATGAGAAGCGACTCCCTTCTGCAGCTCCAAGAAGCAGACACTGGGAGAGTAGCAGCATGTCATCCTTTGCTTCCTTTTCTTTGAAATACATAAGTAAATAATGAATGAAAAACAAAAGAATATTATTACATGAGATTACTTTCCATCATTAAAACTGTGAATTCTGTTCTTTAAGTCTATCCACCAAATAGACCATCATACTAGCACATTAAAATATTTCACATCTTTGTCATACTTCCTGGGACTACAAGTGGCCTTCCTGAGCTCATTAATACTTTGGTGTTGGGAGTAAATTTATTTTCCTGGACTTAACAACTTCAGCTGTCTGCCACCGGCGATAGATATGGATGACCGTCATTCAACTAATTAACTAGATGCAGGCTTTTTTTCTATGTCATTAATGAATCTTGCATTTTAACATGAAAGCAAAATTAATCTTCCTGGATTAACTGACTGGATGCTTTTCTTAAGGAATCTAACTAGCAGATGTGTTGATAATGTAGGTTTTATCACGATTTACTGCGTAAGTTTCCAAAGAACTACAGGAAGCACATAGATTTATTCCTGAAGGCAGATGTCAAATGATGGAAGAAGAAAGGGTGAAAAAAATATTCTGGATCATACTAGGGTACAGACAGAGTCATAATAGAGCATGAAGGACAGACTTGCACTGGCTCAAACCACAGACTTGCCCAGGATTCTGGGCTAGCACAGCGCTTATGGACATGCCTAGATCTGAGCACATAACTAAATATCATCCATTTATTTGAACATGAAATACATGCTTAAGTTTTTTTTCCAAATGGAAGGAGTCGGGGGGAAAAGAGGCTTAACCCTAGTGCTTAAAAACTGAATGCATCTTTTAGAGCCTTGGTTAATGCAAGCCTAACCTAGGATTTGACAAGGAAGATGATTACTGTTCTGATGTTGCTCTTTCTTCAATCTTCAAAACTCCTGCCTCCTTAGAGATGAGACATTACAATGTCTTGGTTTTGTGTTCACATACTTGGTAGTCTATAGGCATCTAGGAATTGAGTCCTGTATATGTAGAGAAAAATATATATATATAAATAGATATATATATGGAAGTAAACAGTGACTGCTATGAGGTAAAAGCAGAAATATTAATTTGCATAATACATATATACACTGTGCATGCATTTATTGATTTACAAATTCTTTACCTCTAGCCTCCTGAGAAAAGCAATAAAAAGTAATAGATAAAGAATAAAGAATAATAGATAAAATCAATGCAACAACTTGATTGCTTTCAAGATACAAATTAGTCCAGAGATGCATTTTTTATGTTAATGTGTTGACCAGTGATCTTTAGCCTTACTATCTTCCTTTTTTAATTACAATTCCACATAAAGAAGAAAAACTCAGGGAAATATTCAGACTTCAACTGTCATTCTTATATATTAGTTAATTTCCAATTTAAAAGGAATATACTTCAAACTTCAACGTCCATGAGGACTATATTGATCTTATCAACTTTCTGTAAATTGAATAGAGTTCCTGCTAGCAGTAGTGACAGGCAGAGAATTTAAAGCTGAACTGATCACAGTTGAAAGAAGAAATGAGGAGAAAAAAAAGCATGTTCAATATAATATAAGATCATGTGGCCTTGAGCCACATGATGATGTAAATCTCCATCCCCGCCTCCCCAACCCCCAAAAGTGTTCCTCTCTAAAAGGCTTAGTTTGAATTTGGTTAATTTCCAGGGTCAACACAGTAATGCATTTATATAAAATTAAATGAGAAAGAGTAGTCTAGCTTGAGATCATTGGTAGATCTCACAGCACTTTGTGCAATTTGAATTTTTTCATTTATGAATATATATTTCTTAGGAAAAAATGAATAATACCCATTTCTGTACCATTATACAATTTGTATGGACTTAACAAGTCAGTTGGCTTCTGTCTGCCAAGAATTTTAGGCATTTATATTGCACAATAAACATCCTTTGTCATATTCAACTCATTAAATAAGCAGCTTGCAATATAACTGGTGATTATTATTTCATAATGTGAGTCCTGCATTATTGCTAAAAAAATGCTTCCTATTTGTTTTGTCCAGCAGTTAAAGATTCCTGCATTTTTTTTAACTGCATTACAATCAGGATCATTTTTCAAGGTACGTTCTAATTCAGAATTTAGCATAAAGAAACATCTCTTCAAGAATAAACAAAATCTCTTAACAGTATCTTTCTTCATCTCTGGCAAATTTTCTTAACATAGGTCATTTCTGGTGAGTTATGAAACTTTTATACATATGGTTAAGAAAAAAAGGAAAAAAAGGTGGGGGGAGGGTGGAAGGGAAGGATAATGGGTACAATAATCCTCCTAGTAATACCACAAGCTGAATTTCAACCTTCAGTCCTTTCTCTAAAGCTTAAAGTTAGCTTCCAAAGCTTTTTAGGAGGCTGCTGCCCTTTTCAAACCACATTTCAGGTGCATCATTCCTGCTGATTTATACATTCTAAATGCTATGTGCTCTACTCCTTATGCATAAAGCTGAAGATGGCTGTGTAATTTCATTCTGCACCTTGGCAACCTCATTCAGACCAAGGTTGACTGGACAGTCCTAAGGCTGTTAATTATAAGATTATTGATTATGGTCTGAACTGGGCCCTGTTTCTATTGCATGAGACCTGTATCTATTGCATGAGACACATTGCATGCCACCAACTCATGACAGATAAAGACAAAGTTATTCTTTTTTTTGTATAATAGCTAGGGCTCCCTCTCCTTTGGTCAGAGCTATTAAGATAACACAAGTACAAGTGGGTACAGTGAAGGAATAAACAGCAAGAAGCCCAGGCCGGCAAATGGGACAGTTTTAAGTATCATATGCGGAAGTTTCCTCAGATTTCATTTTTCGAAGGGGGAGATTTGAACCACTTGGGCCTAGATGATTCTGAACTAAACTTTGGCCATAATAGAGAGAATTAATCAACACTTTACTGAATCATGCGCAAAACCATGAGTGCACACCATAGTCCAAACGATGCCTAGCAGAAATAAGGAATTGCCTACACTGTAACGAACTGCGAATAAGAGAGGGCGAAGAGAGGGCGAAGAGAGGGCGAATAAAATAGACGACTCCTCTATGGATGATACTACTGCTATATATCAGTTATCCATTCATAAAAGGGGAGATTATTTAGCAAGATATACTTTGTTTAAACTCTGTTCCTTAAAAAATATTTGCACAGAATCCATTAGCACTTCTGACAGCGTTGCAGCAGATTCAGGATAAATGCCAGTTAAAGATCAAATTTGAAAGGAAATACCTCTGGTCACCGTTGAAGTATACCAATGTGGCAGTATTGTTAATCTTGCGTTTATGGTATTATTGATTAAATGCATGCTGAATTGTCCAGGAACTAATCCTCCAGGTCAGTCAGCATATATAATTAGAAATTAAACCAGCGATGGTTTAAAGTTTATAATCCATATAGATATGACTGTTTTCTTGATTCAACTGACTTTCAGTCTCAGTTTTCCAAGACTTCTCAAGCAGCTGTCCTGAAGAAAAGTGTGTATATATTTTAAAACTATACTGCATATAGGCATAGGCATCCTCATCATTTGCAAACAAATGACTTGAAGTCATACCATCAAAGAATTAACAAGAAAGAAGAACACTGTATTTGTTTCCCATATTTTCACTAAGAAAAGTTATGACTACTTGCGCTACATGACACGAATTTTCTAACTCTAGCTATGACATGTTTTGAATGAAATAAGGCCTATTTTGCAATCAGTTTACAGCCTCCTCTGACCTGCAAGCAGGCAGATTTGGCAAATACCAATATTTAAGTGCTCAAAAATCAAGTTTGGAAAATTTCTGTACAAGTGAAACCTTCTGTGGCCACTTTGTTTAGAATCTAATAATTTCTAAAATGATTATCAGTTCCATTGTGCTCAGCTTGATTGTAATTTGTAGGCTTAGGGTGAGCAAGACTAAAAGAGGGAGAAAGAAAAACATTTTGGCTCTTCTCTAGTATTAAATTTTGACCAAAGATTTTCCCCTCAGAAATGAGCTGACTATTATTTAAACACTCCTGGGAGCTCTGGTAAACTTGCTTTCAAGTATCAATTTAAGCCAGCAACACTAAGCAAAAGTAATTAGATATAGAAAAGATTGAGTGAAACTTTCTAATGAATATGCTGTTGCCCCATGGGATAGAGGATTGCCACCTTTCATCCTATGTGCTGCACAGCACTAAGGATTTGGAGAAATGGAGAAAAAAAAGATCAGAATGATCCTTTCATGATATACAACCTCAGTTACTCCACAAAATGTTGCTGCTGTGAGTGTCTCATTTGCAGTATTCTTTGGGTCAGTATAGAAGATTGCACAACATGAGCGTGAGTTTGGAGAAGTACCTGAGAATACCGACCTAGAGCATAAGAGGGAAGAAAGTAAAAAACCCACCCCCCGCATCCAACCTCTGCACAATTTTCTTTCATGTATAAATAATAGCCATACTGCATAAAAGGGTGCAAGATAGATCATCTCTAATGGCTTAAAATAGCAGCCAAAAATAGAATCTTGGGATTTTTTTCTTTAAATCCTTTTAGCACATTCTAGGACAAAGCCCATGTCAAGAGGAATAGACATTTTTGGACGAGCCAGCACATTTGTTCCCATAACCTCAAATGGAAAATCCCAATCATCCGTGAAATCAAAGAGAAGAGAGGTTCCTCCTACAAGAAGACATTTATAATTATACTGCTTAGGATCAGCATCCTGTCTCTTTTATACTGCTACAGACTTTCTTGCTTGTGATCTTGCTGTGATCTCATTATTACAGAAGAAAAATCAGAAAAAGAGAAAAAGTAAACACAAAAAATGCAATGCTTATCTCACTTAAGATGACTTACAGTTTAGCTCCACAGATAGAAATCTCACCTACACTTACTGAGCAGGTAATAACATTTCAAATTAAGTAAATATTAACATTTATTCTCAACATCAATCAGTGCAGTGACATAGCCAGTGACCTTATAACCTGAAACAGTCCTTAAATTCCACATTCTCTAATTAGTTATGACCTGTACATATTCATTTGTGTTATAATTTAAGCAGATTTGTACATTACTGTAAATTCAGGAATCCTGAAGGAAACATGTGTCTTGGGGAAACATAGAAAATACAGTATTTCAAATAAAGGAAGAACTCATTTCAGTGTTTCCTGAGCATACAGCAAATCATCACTGCTGACCATGCCTGATGCAGCACAAGCTGTAAGCTTACAAATCAAATCAATCACACTGCACGTATCCAGGCTGAAGAGACTTTGAGCCTGCTGTGTTTCAGCTCAGTATCTCAAGGGAACATGCACCAAAACATCACTTGCAACTCCCTGCATTCACTGAGGACAAAGGGAAAAGGAGCTCTTTGTGCCAACATAAGCAAAGTAAATCTTAGTAAAATAAGTAAAATACAGAATTATGAAAAAAAAAAAAGACAAGGTCTTGAAGAAAAATAATTTGTTCACATATTGGCTTGGAGGGAAGCAAACAGTACAGGAAAGGAGAAGCACTGGGAGATCTCAGGTTAGGACAATGTCATATGTAGATTAAAGTTAAAAAGTAGCTATCACTTTGTGTTCTCCCTTCCATGAGTACAAATATGGAGTTATCTGTGACTCCTTGTGAATGCCAGGGTCGACATGAGCAAACACGTCTCTAAGCAGCTATAAGGTCTACTTCAGTCGTGAGATACAGCATAGGGCAGGGTATCTGTTCTATTAGAAGGACCTGAGTTTCCTTTCCAAATTCTGTGTATGTGATAAGATTTTGAGATTATGTACTGTACTTGATATTTGCAAAGATAAGCAGCATCCTGCCAGCTTTTTGTAAGAATCAGACTCCAGAGTTTTTTGGAAGTAACCTAATAGCTCTGAAAAGATAAATGCAAACATAAGGTGATTGACACCCTGTGAATTATAGGCAAATGACATCAGATAGCCCCCAAAAGAAGAGATGGTCTTCTTCCCTTTTAGCTACCACATTCTACTAAATAAAAAATGAAGAGAAAAAAAAAAAAAAAAAAAAAAAAAAGCCCATCAGGTACTCCAGAGTACACCTGTTTTCCTTTTCTCTTTCCCTCTCCTTTCCTGACATCCTGCCATGTTCTCTTCCATCACAAACACCGCTCTGCCAATCTGCTCAAACTAATCCCCCCATCAGCTTGACACAAGCACATCTGCCTTTGGAGCATTTGCAGATAACTCCCATTTGGCTGTGAACCTGCTTCACGAAGGCAGAATTGAGAACCTCTGTTTCCTGACTTTGAGAATGCCTTTTCAGTATTTTGGAAAGACAGAAAATGCACCAGGACACTTTCCATCCGTTCAAACTTTTGCCTTTTTGTCAGTGAATAGAAGATGAATAGACAGGCTTAATATGGAACCAAGTTGAAATACTAATATCAAACACTGAAGAGGTGTTTGTGTGTCAAAATGGGCAAAACAGATCCCAGAAGGCATGTACTGAGACAGTGGTGACTGCCTAGCAGAGATGAGCATTTGGAATGGGGCAAACAATGCCAGCTCAGCTCACTGGAAAGTGTTTTCCTCTCAATGGGGACATTACACTGTTTTCATATTTTTTATTACAGGAAGACCAAAGAGTTCCGGATGAGATAAGAAAGTTTTCATTCACACAGCCCACTTTGTCAAGGAAAGGGTGATTCTTCTTCTTCTGCAGAAGTAGAACTTAAGTCCAGTGATTTTGTCACTGAAAGTCTGTATAGCAGAGCTGAGATAAAGAACAAAGATATCTTGAATCCCCAAACTTAATGCAAGGTCATCTTTCCCTGTTCTCACTGCAAGAGGAGTTTGTGATTCAATTTTATGTTTTATCCTGTTTTTTTCTTCACAAGGTACAGTTAATTCCTATGATGAATGTATATGCTGTTATTCCTACTCCAGGTCTGATGCATTCAGCTTAGCCACTTCTCCTGTGTGTTTACTACCCGAAAGCGTTTCTGAAATCTCATACCATTGTCACATATTATATGATATGCACTTAGGGGAAGACCATCCATTTGCTTTTCTCTTTCCTTTTGTGTGATCAATGAACTTGAGGATATGATTTTAAAAATTGATGCTGGGATTCATTTTCACAGCATGACAGAGAGGTAAGTTTTTGAAAGAGTTAAGTGATTCCTTAGTCAATGAGGCTCAGATAATTTAATTCTTTCACCACGTTGTGAAAACATATCCCCCCGACAGAAAGATTTATTTAATGTATACAAAATCTTTTGGAACTACTAGAGTTGAAAAGCCATACCTATATATGCTATCAAGCAGTCTTCACAGAATGATAAGTAAAAGTATCTGTAAACCACAGATTTTTTTCAACACTATGCAAAACAGAGTCTGAGGCTTTCCATTATGTTTATAAACTGGCAGCAAAAAATCAAAGAATAAGGTTCAGTGAGATCACAGTACATGGATTTATTTCCCCTTTCTGAAGACAGAAGATCTCCAGTTCTGGAACTATTCATCTCCTGGGTCAGCTTTCTCTGTACTTCCTCCAGGGATCTCAGAACTGAACCATCTATCATGAAGGAGGTCTAATTACTTCCAAGTTGTTTTGTAGAGCATGGCAAAAAATTGTCTTTATTTAAGATTTAACACAAATCTGGAATAACTCCAGTGAAGTAAACATGATTGGTCTGTTTTTTGGGTTCTTTTTGATTATTTTCTGTGAATATGAATGAGTGCAGAATATATCTCATCAAGTGAATGATGGCATCCCTGCATTCCAAGTCTAAGAACAGCTGAAATGCAAAATTTAAAGGTGAGACTTAATGTATCCATTTATAATGGTCTGTAATACAAATGAGAAACCCCAATAATGCTCTTCTGGGTCTATTCTCATACCTATTTATATCCATTCTATACTGGCTTCTTTCATTTCTATCACTCCTTATTATGATTTAACTGACTGAATAAGCAGCTGAACTGAAGTCTGAAAAGCAACAAGAATTATTTGAAGCAGAACATTATCTTTCTCTATGAGCAGCAGCCCTGTTTTGCAGCACTGGAACATATTAGTGTATCTTAGGGCCAGTCCTTGTTCCATAGATAACACTACATCGCAGGGCTGACAGGTAGAAATCATGAGAAGATTAGCTTTTGCCACTTCTATGTAATAGGGCACTTACCCACATAAATAATTCCATCTCTTCCACTGTGCATAATTTTCCTTGAGAATCTTCTGGTTTTCTTTCCTGTAGAAGAAAGAAATAAGAGCAGTTAGCCTCTTAAAAGCAGTGTTTTAGCTCTGTACCTGAACCAACTCAGCAATATTGCCTGGTATCTGGAAAGAAGAGAACATAGCTTTGTGTCGAGATGAACATTTAGTGATGATAATATAGCACATATGTCATAAGGTACATGCATTTCTGAGAAAGTTCCCCTTCCTTTCCAGTTTCAAGCAGACTGGGATAGGATTTGGCCTTTATTCTGTTTCACCTGCAGAAAAATGAACATTTCTGCTTAGCCCAGAAATAAAGACTGTAACACAAACTACTGTGTAGTGCCTGTAGGATTGTTATCAGAATATATCCGTATAAAAAATACAGTTTTTTACCCTATATCTATTTCTCTTCCCTCTAATATTATTGTTTCTGAGTCTTTTTTTTTCTTTGTTTCCTAAGCTTCACATTCTGCTATTCTGAAAACAAACATCTCGTATTCATAAAGCGAAAGAATGATTAATTCCTGCCAATTCTTTGCCTTTCATGTAACCTTCATGAGCATGAGTCCTCACCTTGGTTTCAACATGACAAGCCATACAAGCAAACCAACATCTTCACCTCACTGACAGCAGCTTCCCACAGAGCTATACATTAACTCTATAAAGAGCCACAGTGACTTCCAAGGGGACAGTATCTGCACAAAGAACTTTTCACAAGTACAAGAACTAGCCTTACTCAAGTAACTCCCACTCCTTTAATGACTTTCATGCAAGTGCTACCCTAGAGCCACATGCAATCCCATTAGCTTCAATGAGGGTCCACCTGGGACTCATTGCACGGATAAGGCTTTAATGCAGGCTGCCCAGAATAAATGGTTTAACTAAAGGCATGATGTTAAAATGATTTAGATTGACAGCTAAATTAAGTGAAACTACCTGTGTAGACACACACCAGTTTAGCTTGCCCATGTAATTTACAGCTTAAACCCCCAGGAGCACTCACACTCCACCTCATGTGGGCTTAACACGGCAACTTAGCAACCTTTGTTTGTGAACAGTCTTCCAAAGAAACCTTCTGCCTGACAATTTCTCCCTGATTTGTTAATTAAGTAGTTTGCAAGATGATGTGTTCCCCTGGTGTAGGGGCTGAGGTGGTCCAGTCTGCTCCTGACCGCCTTGTCCAATTGTGTGGGATTGGTCTTCAGGTCTTGCCGTGTTTTTTCTGATCACGATCCTGCTGAATCCAGAGGGAATAACTGAATTTGCACTAACTGTTTCTTTCAGCTGCATCAGAGATGCTTCTAAAGTGAAATAGGCTTTTAAAATCACACATAAATAAAAGATCTTTTCCTGGCCTCTCAATGCTAGGCTATCTTCTGTGAACTGCCCTCGATCTGTTGATGCAGTGAAGTCTGAAAACTGCTCAGAGAGAGCAATTTTGATCCCAAGGCTTCTGCAAATGATTTTACTGAACTGTGCAGTAAGACCCAATATCAGATGATGTTGCAGATATGACACAATGGACTTTTTTTTCAAATATTCCTGTTCTTTGGTCTGCTCTTCGGGATTTGTCAACAAATTATTGGCCCTTGATCTTGTGGTCTTTAATCTGTAACAAACCTGTGCCAGCAACACACAATTGCTCTAAACCCATGCTATGGTCTAGTAGGTAACACTGTAGTGTCTATAGCTGTTAAATAACCTTACCTTTTTTCCTGCCCCCCCCCCCCCAACTAGAAATTTTGTGTTTCAAAAACATTTGTATTGAAACTGTTGTATTGTGTTCTCAGAATAAAAAGAAAAAAAATCACATGGAAGAAAAATAAGGTATTTGTTTGCTTTTAATATTCTTAAAAAATAAAAAAAGAAAGAAAAAAAATGGAGGCTGTATTTCATGTAGGTTATATTAAAGATAGAAAAATTTCAAAAAAATGATAGAGCAAAAAAATCAGTTGACAGAAACTCTACACTCATTTCAGTCTCCTCAGTACATACCATATCTATGAGAATTCAGCCCAGAAATGTCAGGAAGCAGATTGCAAAACATTAAAAAAACAATACAAATCAACATAAAACAAAGTGTAAACCTATAGAAATGGCTGTAATATATATGTGCACTTTTTTTTTTTTTTTTTAAATCAGCATTTATCCCATTTTTCGTCTCCTTCTGTTTCTTTAGCCTGAATTTCCATGCGCTCATTACCTCTCCTTCTTACCTGCTCTCAGGTAAAATTCTGGGACCTGTGTTTTGCAGGATGTTATAAATAGCCCCTTATCTCCAAACTATATGCACAATTACAGGAAAAACTGTAAGCATCCAGGCAAGATAATGCCTGGAAACTGCAGGCAAAGAGAAGTGTAGCTTATCCCAGAACCAGAGTAAGCAGGTACAGGTAAGTAACAGAAGAATAAGCTGAATACAAACTGCATATATTCAATTGTTACCCATTTAAGACCTTTAAGAATTTTTACATTTCTTTTAAAAACTTCCCTATTCTTTTATTTATTTGTCTTTCACTAGTTCTAAAATCTCAAAGTCAGGTAACAATTCAGGCCCACTGAACTACACTAGTAAGTTTAACACTTGCATGCTGGCCCAAGCATAAGGACATGCTTAAGAACTTTCCTGACTGAGAGCAAAATATTCTGCACCTGGCAGCAATTTGCAGATCAACAGGCATTTAATCCTGTGAAGTTTATAAAATTTACTTAAAGAGAAACCAATATTTAAGAGAAAAAGAAGAAATGAAATATAATAATAAAAAAAATGTATAGAAGAAAAAAAAAATATGTATAATATATTTTACCAGAGTTTTTTTCTTTTAAACCTGTGCAATCAGGTTAAAAAGACAGGGGGAAAAAAAGCTGAATTCTATGGATTTGTTTTATGCATTTTTAACATTCATTGAATCAACTCAGAAAAGCCCTGGAGACAATTCGTGGCTGTACTATTTATAGTTAGAGATCGAACATCTCATGTTCTAAGCCTGTCTAATTTCAAATTTTTATTGACAGGAAAAGTATGAAATGTTTATAGTGAGGTATTCTTTCACTAAAAAAAAAAAAAAGAGAAAAAGAAAAATATCTCCCTAAACCCACTCACATCTCATCTCATCAATCATAACCTGTGTGAATGATAATAGGTTCTCAAAGCACTCTAGTTCTCCATGACAGCTCTAATAATGCAGTGCCAGATGTTTGAAATGTCTGCAATACCCAGAGGTTGCAGTGCAATGACCTTCATGGTCTCTCATTCAATAGGAGTGGTTGGTAAATGTAAATATAATTACCATTCAATCCATTTATAATAGGCATGATTATAACATAGCAAATAAAAGCACTTACAAAACTATATATATTAAATTAAATATATTGTTTTCTGATTATAGTAGACACTCTCTGGATATTATTAATGTCTCCTAAGGAAAGAACAGGGAACGAGCTTTGAGAATATTGAGAAATGGAAGAACATCAAGGAATGTAACCTCTGTGCCGTCATTCCCACAAGCTGTGTAAACCTTTGAGCTAAAACAAATATTTCTATAAAACAGGAACTGTTACTTTTTTAGCTAAGCCTCTGCAACAGGAGATTGTGCATGTTCTTACTGTCCAGAGTCCTTAACAGATAACTGAAGGAGCATCCTTCCCCTTATCACATTTCAGCAGCAAACTTGCTTTAGTAATATTACATTCCCATTTTCAAAATTAATTTAGCTAGCACGCAGAATGAAGGCATAACCCTTTAAAAGCCCTCAAATCCATTCCAAACCAAAACCAAAAGAATACGCACCCCCCAAAAAAAACCCTCAAACAAACAAAAGAAGCACCTTTATTCTGAATACCAATATTTCCTTCAAAATAAATAAACAGTCCATATATTAGCTTGTGCAAATAGATTTTGTGCCACTGGCATTAATGTTACAGTTGTGATTCTCCATGGTTTTATTTTCTTTAAAGACTTGCACTTTGTGTTAGGATGATTGCATTAAACCACTCCGGTGCTGAGAAGCAAGCAGGATAACTTTCCTGGGGAAGGTGAATTCGTTCTGTTGCAAAGTAAGGTGCAAAGTTGCACCATTCCTTCAACTGCTTCTCTTCCGTTCTTCCTTTGTTCTAGCCCTCCTTTTCCAGCCCAGGGCATTTTGCTCCACTTTTTCCTTCTCCTTGTTAAATCCTAGAGAAGTGTTTCACCTCAGAGATGTGAGCAAGTGAAGCAGGTTTTGATTGGGGTGGTCTGAAAAGACTATTAGATTACTTTAGTTAGCTGTTGTGCCTAAGAGAGGAGTAAAGGTTGTCATTATTATAATGTAGTTATTACCATTAGGATATTAAAGATATTACAGGAAGGAACTGTCTTGGTTCAATATTTGATCAAACATCTAGGCAAATAATGCTGCATGTTATGGATCACACTTTGATGCTAATGCAGTAGTCCCTACAGTGTGTTGAGAGTGGGATTTAGGTGCCAATTCTTCCCCAGAGGAGGAAACACAGGTGATGTGAAAGGGAGGAAGCTGGTGGTATTGGAGGTTGGGGCAGCAATTCCCCAAACCAATTCTTATCCTCCTCGTTCCCTTTATGCCTCATGAAATTTCCTTGCAGCTGCAAATCAAAGTGCTTTTCCCAGAGCAACTCATCAGATTATGAGCTGCTCAGACATAGTCTGCCTTCTCCCCTGTGGAATGGAAGGGGTTAATTTAATATAGTGAAGTTTCTTGTATGTCCCAGAGGCAAAGTTCCCATGACCACACTTCTAAAATGTCACCCTTTAATTTTTCAAGCGCTGATATTGTCTTTCACTGTGGGAGTCTTCTGGTCTCATTTCAATCCCAGCCAAGGACAGCGCACAGACCTTTCCCTTCCTCCCTAATTTACTTATATCCCTAATATCATGGCTCCGAGGGGCCGGGGGGAGCTGCCTCCCACCTCAGCTCTCTGCCTCACTACACAAAGCAATCAGTACTGACCCCATAACCTCTCTTCCCAACCGTGCCTGCCTCTGTCTGCCTTCCCCAACTCATGGATTCCTTCTGGTTACAGGCAGCCCATGTGGGCTCTCTAAACTCTCTGCGGGAATATCTGTGGCCAGAATGGAAGGATGCATTTTGCTCCCTTCTGTTGAGCCTAGCATAGTTTATTCAGGAATAGCAATTCCTTCCTTCCCATTGCAAAGAAATTTCGTATCAGTATCAATTTCTTTTCTTCTGCCTAGAAACAAGTAGAGCAGCAGCCCATGCTGAGCTTATGTGTGCCAGAAGCAAATTGAAGCTCTGTGCTGTGGAGTCTGCCCTTATACAGCAAAAAATTCTGCAGGCTCCTAGGGAAGCATGAAATTTTCTTTAGCATCCCTTTGGTGCCTTGTAGGATCAGAGTACCATTGATTTGCTTTTCATATTCCCAAGAAAGCTGTCATGTTTTGTGTTATGGATAGCCCTCCTTTAGAGTTCAGGCGTAAGTTCACCATATTCAGAAACTCATCCACCTCTCACTGCTCTTTAGTTGGAGACAGGTATTTAGGTGCCTCCAGTACAAAGAGGAAACTGTGAACATACTATGTGGATCACTCTAAAAGTAAATAACTTCTACTTTCTTGTATAGTTAGACAAAGTCAAGCTGTCAGGAATCTGGAACTACAAAAAATGAGACTAAATCCTGTTTTTACATTATTGAACTATTTTGA